GAACATCATTTGATATTTTAAATATTTTAAATGTTAATTATTGTAATATTTAATAAGAATTTATTGTGATTAGACGGACAAGATTTAATATATATTAATATCTATTTTAATATTATCATTGTCTCATAAGCTTGTATCTTCCAATTCCTTCAGGTTCACGTTCTAATAGATTGTACAAATTTATCATACTTCTCATGCGTGCTACACGCTCCGTCTATCTTTCTTTCAGTGACTTGATCAGCCTAATAATATGTAAAGCATACACGTTGTGTAGTTCCTCATTATACACTTTTCTCCAAGCTCTGGTTTCTTCGTGCTACCTATTTTCAGACATCCTCGTACGTGTAATGTGTCTTCCGCCATTCTGTCCATAACGTGACGATATAAGCGTGTTATAATGCAGACGCGTGATATGCAAAGTTACTTTCAGATTACGGACAAGAACGTCATTATTTTTTGTGTTACGTTTCTGTGTTATCGTCAAAGGTAACTTTCACTAAATGATCAATCAACAGAGTTTTTGGAGTTAAAAGGGAGACGCCTTTGGTTTCAGATGGACCCGTGGACTTCTCGAGTCGCCCCACGTCTTCGTCACAACTTGGAGAGAAGAGGGCGCAGAGCGAAAGTGACGAAGATGAAATCGACATTGTGGGAGAGCAACAAGGCTCCCAGCCCATGCTAGTGTGAGGCACGGTGTTGCTAGGCCCTTGAGGCACTCTCAGAGACTCGGGAGACACAAGACGAGCCAACAGTAGGAAAACCTCGAGAAGAGTCTCTCAGGGGACAGTTTTTTTAATTGCGACCAGAGGCTAGAGTTCAACGGCTATTAAACCAATATGATAATACTTAAGGATGAGATAGCGTAAAGCTTTTATTCTCACGAGACTGAACTCTGACGTCAGGAAGTGTTATGAAGTTCGGCTCAGTATCACGAGATTCAGAAGTCAATTTCTGAAACGCTGTGCAGAGTATTGTGAAGCTAACATGATAACACAGTGGAACCTCGATATACCGCGGCTGTGATCATGTCCCCCAAAACGATTACACATGCTTTAAATATTTCACAGGGTAGCTTATAACGCGGGTACTGAAGTTGTCCCCTCGGAACCCGCGTTATATCGAGGTTCCACCGTATTAAGGTACTCAAGAGGGCGTGTTATAAAACTCACTAACCAGAAATTTAATTTGAGGAGACATGTTACGTATGAAGAAACTTTATTCTGCGACGACGTGTGGACAAGATACAGTGTCGCAAAATAACTGAGAACCGTAGCTAATATCCTTCAGTTTTGGGTTTTTTTTAGTGTTCTGTCCGACGACAGGTCCATATGAACAGGATCCTTCCATCCTTTTCTCGGACTGGGACCTGTTCATATACGTTCTTGGCAGATGATCCAGAAGTGGTTTGCCATTGCCTTCGTCTGTGTGTGAATGGAGTAATTGTTGGGATGCCACGGAGAAAACTCAGTGTTGCCTAGACCACGGCCTTGCCCAACAAAAAATAATGTTATTAAGACGGCTATAATTAGCGTCTCAAATATACAACTCTTAAATAAGGTACCATTACCTATCGTCACTTCAGGTACAAGAATTTGCAACATGGAACATAGGAGTAGAAAATGTTTGTTACATTCAGTGGGGAAGGATCTCACCAGATACAGTAGGATGGTTCCCAGTGTGTTGAATAACGAGCCATGGAATAGCACAGGAACTTGTTTCTGGTAGTCGAAACACCTGGAAAGTGATCTGTCTGGTAGATACGTTGTGGAGGTTCCAAGTCTGAGAGTACAGGGCTGTATCACCACGGCAGAATCATCAGACGCAAGCAGATGAGGCAGTCTTGCATTCGCGAGTGGCTTGACTGACAACCAAGGAGATGTTCGTAGCATCATTCTTTCTCTACAGCGAATTGGTGATGTT